AGAGCAGACCATACATGTAGCAAAGTGTTATGTGCATGGTCCTAGTGCCCTATTTCTATCCTGCATCATAAATTCTGTATGGCAAATTGAATGCTGGGCAGATTTCAGAATGCGGGACAGGCCCCTGGACCTTTTTTGTGGGGTAGGACCCCAAAATATGGGACTGTCATGTGAAATTCTGTACCATTAACACTTGTGATATGTAAATAAGGAAATACGGAGTAAATCATGAGATATATTTATATTTTGTGGCCCAATATCACTCCTATTGATGTATTGTTGCTCACTATCAACTCCACTCAAGATATTTACATAAGAAACCATTTCAGCATTACATCGGCAGTCTTGCCGTCTTTTGAAGCAGAGGGTTTAATACAGTGCTAACTCATCTTAACATTCAAGATGTTGGTAAACTCATTTCTCCACGATGCTCGGCCAGCTTTGAAAAATCTGTAGTTCATTAACCTCTGGATTGCCAAGTTCAGCCGCTGATCTAATGTATGCCCTGAGAAGACTTAGCTTAGCATTTGCATTACAAGCCATAATGAAAACTTGGCAGGATTTGACAAGCCTGAGCTCCATAGACGTTATGGAATCCCATAACTCCAAAACCCCATAACTCCAATTCTATAGAGGTCTAATAATGCTTGCCCAAAAGAATCACTGCTACGCAGTCCAGATCAACCATTTCCTCCTGTTCTTACAGCAATAGATCAGATGAAACCTCAGGCGCCAAAAGTTAGATGGTCAGCTATGTCACATTTATTATGGCAGTACTATGTAATAAGGGGGGGAAAAATCAGACACTTTTTTTGATATGTGTTTCACAATATCTAGCAACTCTAAACAAACAGAGAAAATGTTTTCTTGTTTTCTCTCAGTATTGATGCTGCCAGCAAAAGTTTGCCGCAATAAGTTCAATCGGCATTTACTTTGTAACCATTATGTTTTCTTTCTCGCTAGACACAAGGTAAATGAATGGCCGTGGGCTGGACTGCTCCACGCTCCCTTCTGCATGCATCTTGTTCAGGGAAATGAGGTTGAACGGCTAAATTCCCCATCACCACACTGGAGAGCCTGTAATGTGCGTAGCCTGGGGTGAAAGGCAGGATGGATAGAGAGACCAGGCCGATGCAAATAGCATTGGTTTAATTAGGCCAAACGTCTAGAGACCAAAAAAATGAGTTCCTATCAACCTCTTGCTACTCTGGGCAGAAACATTGCAGCTCAATAAATTCAGACAATAGATGTACAGATATAAAGGAGATTTCATAACCAGCATTGGCAAGATTCTAAACTAAGAAAAAATGTCTTGCAACAGTGCTCAAACATAAACGATTTGAATAGTAGATAGCAATATTTCAATACATTCTTCGGGGATAAATCTTTGCCCCCTAGAAAGATATTTTACTCAAAAAATTAACCTTGTTCATAAAACACATGTTTAAAATCGAATACATAATTATTTGAGTGAAAACTAAGGGTCAAACGCACAATGAGTTTCTACTGATTGGAATGTGTGTACTTTATCATCTTACCTCATATTTTATATGTTTTGCACTTTTGTTGTGGTGTTTGCATATGTTTATTGCTGTGTCATAACTATTTTGACATGATTACTGTGAGCTTTGGAGTCAACATGTTTTTGCATGTTGACTACTTCAAAGGCCTCGAGGACCAGACGTCTGCAGTAAAAATTTTATCCTCTCAAGGCAGCTCTCGGCTCTAAGAATATTTTCCATTTTCTGCACCTATAAATTATGAGCGATTGGGGTATCTTATGAAAATTGTGTAGCAACAGATCTATTGTAGGAGATTGTTAAATCACTTCTAATGTATGTGGACTATAGTCATGTGCATTGAAAGACCTATACAGTGCCCACCATGTTACAACAGAATTTGTTTAAGACTAGGGACTAATATATTGTGTTAATCTATACCTACAACAAGAACCTGGATCTAGAGTAGTGTTGCATGCTGTAATTACATAATAAGAATTCAGATCTAATATAATGTACTGTAACTAAAACATTAGCTTTAAGAAACACTTCGGGCTGACTTCAGCCCCTTTAACAAATTAATCTCTATGAAATTGTTATGATTGTTGAAGTCACTGGAAACCGTCCTACATTTAAAGGGTAAAACTGTTTTTGAATAGGTTAACCCAAAAGTTGTAACACTGGTTCTCTTCTCTCTGCCTCCTGTCTTGTTCACTGGCCACCGTACCGTACAGGAAGGTTTGCCTTGGAAGCCAGTGATAGGCTAAGAACACCAAGTGGCAATCCCAGCATATCACAAGCCACCCATCGATAGTAATGGTATGGACATTCTCAACATATCACCCGCTGCCAAGGTAACACCTTCTTGTACTGAGTGACGGCCAGAGTAGGATTGAGGGGGGAAATAATAATGTGCACGGTGGAACAACATTTAGGAATAAATCATTTGAAAACAGTTTAACCCTTGAAGGTAAGACATAGTCCAGGTAGTTATTCCCTTTAAGACAACGTCGTAGAGATTGTGATAGAATTGTTATGAAGTGGGAGTGTTCCTTTATGTCTTACATATTGCGGTATGCTGTAGTTAGCCAATTCATCATATCATACTGTAGGACCTAGGCACCATACTATAACAACAACTTTGATCGCAGACAGCTAATGGTCACATATTGATAAAATGACAACGGAACCTGCCATCAACACTGCTTCCTTGCCTGCTTCTGAAGGCAATGAGGGAAGATTTATGCTTAACATACAACAAGAGGTTTCATCACATTAGAATTTTTCCATCAGCTGTGATTAGTCTCTTTACTCCATTAGGCTTCAATTTCTGTGACATGATGTGAAAAGCAGTAATGTGGTTCTATTTTAATTGCCTCACACTGCAGAAAATAAATACTAATATAGTGTGATGTTAATACAGTCGGATGGGGAATGAGAAACGCAGCAATGTTATTTTTAAAAATAAATGTAACTTGGACCTCCTTGGCATGTGAACATAGATTGTTCTGGAACCATGAAGAATGCAAAACATTCTTCCACTTCACATTAAACGTTACCTTTCATTTAAAATGAAGCATATTCCTTGTTATATTTACGTAGCATAATGCTTTCATTTATGTACTGTAGTTTTCTGCTTCCCGGGGGTCCAGTTTACAGAGCATTATTTCTTTAATTGCTCTATTATAATTTTTTTTGTTATTCTACCTCTCAAGCAATCTCCTTATGTGGATTTACCAGATATTATTTTACAAAGCTTCTGTGAATATAAACAGTGAATACCCACTGGAATGCAGCCTTGATGCTATTGGACTGCTGTTGAGGAAGCCCCCTAACAAGGTTAAAACATGTCCTGCTTACTTATTTGAGTCCCTGCACATACAGGTATTATCTGTATGAACCAATTGTTTTAACATGAATTATATAGAGGTATCATTTGTACCTGCTCACATTGCTTGAGACCTGCGACATTGCAATTGCAACTGACTAGAGAATGCTAGCTTTTGAAAGCTACCTATATAATAATAATAATAATAATAATAATAATAATAATAATAATTAATAAAGTATTTAACCAGTAAAGGTACATTCAGATTAATCTGATTTCCAAGTGCGTCCTGGGGATGTTAGTTTTGCCCAACATCCAGTTACTATATAAAAAAAAAAGATGAACTATTTTACTGCCTAGGTAGGGCATTTGGCATATGATGAGATCCTCCATCTACTAGTAAACCCCGGGTACTGGTGGCATAACAGTGTGATGTATAAGAGAGTAGCAGAAATAGGAGTGTTTGAAGCATAGGTGCAAACAGTCCTCAATTTGCCAGGACAGTCCCGCATTTTGGGGTACTTTCTCAGTAAATATAGGTTCCTAGGACCTGTCCTGCCATTTGAACTCTGTTCGCAGATTTCAAAATGCAGGAGAGGACTGGACATTAGAACCATACACGGATAGCTTCAGTAGTGCTCTGTGCATGGTATGCTGGAAGGGGCAGGTTATTAGTCAGCCTGGACACCCCATTCAGTGTGGGGCCGTCCCTCTGATTGGCCTACACTGTTGGCACCAATGTAATATAGTAAGAGATACTGTTTATTCCCTGTTATTCCAGGTAACAACTGGCGCCCAAATGGTCCTCATAAAACTGAAAACTATTAACTGAAGAGGGTGAAATAGTGCCATCTTGCTAAGGAAAATGTAATTTAAACATGGTTTAGAACCTAAATGTTACACTTTGTATAACTGATTTGAAAGATGTATTATTCACTAAAGTGTGAATTGTTGGGAATTTTAAATTAGTTAAAAGTGAGTTTAAAATATTAGATCAATTAAAAACAACGACCAAAGAACTTCAAAGCTAAATTTAAAAGCCCCAAAAACAGCTACTTGCAAACAGCACTATGGGGAAGCACTCTTGCAAGACCTGAGGGCTGAGCGAGGGGCATACCTGCGATATCTGCCAGCTTCTCTTACAAGCCAGGAGGCCCAAAATGTCGGCCTTACTACTAGATTTCCTGTCAGCCTCAGAGGATGAAGACCTGGGATTCCCGTGACACAGAATCCCTTCACCAGGGGAAGGGAAGTGCCCCCCTGATCCCCCCCGGCCACGAAAGCAGACCTATCAAACATGGTCTCAGACCTCAAAGCCTTCTTCACCTCTGAGATAGCTGTGTTGAAAGAAGAGCTAAACTCCTTGACAGGCAGAATACGGACTACAGAGGAAGATGTACACAATTTAAAGATAAAACAAGACTCTTCGGCAATGCAAATGCTGGAACTATCAACTAACTACGCACAATTGAATGCCAGGGTCGGATAACTGGAGGACACAGCCAGGCTCTGCAATCTAAAAGTTAGAGGGGTCCCTGCCACCATCGAAGCAGCTGAATTACCACAGTACATCAGAAGGCTGCAGCCTTAGCACCTAAACAAACCAAAGGTATGGCCCTCAAAGGAATTTTACGCAAGCCTGCAATGCAAACCCCATGCCTAAAGACATCATCATGTGCTTCAACTTGCGGTTCGATAAAGAAAGTTTCCTGCAAGCAGTCAAGGGGCAAACCCCTTATACCTTTGAGGAAAACCAGCTAAGTTTCTTCCAAGACCTCAGCCGCCAAACTCTGCAATGGAGAGCCTCCTTCAATGGAATAAACTCCCAACTCCGAGCTGCAGACATCCCATACAAATGGGGTTATCCAAGGGCACTCATCGCCGAAAAAGATGGCCACCAAAGCTGGCTGACATCACCATCAGACACTGCAGCGTTTCAACAGTCCTTGGGACTTACCGCCACACAGTCTGCTCACCACTGGGATGTAGCCAACGTGGCAGCCTTTACCCTTTTGAGATCTACGGCACCCGGCTGATCAGGCGTTACAAGTGACTGCGACATTTATTTGTTGTTTTGTTGATATTTAATATGCCTGACTCAGTTTGTGTTTTTCCTTAGTCTAATTTAGTGCAAAATACTACATATTTAGATGGGGCTTTTAACAGAGCTCCAGTTAGTATCCAGAAGTTGCTATGGGCACCCTTAAATATAGCCATCTTTCCCCTCCCACCCCAGAGTTCCAGGGTAAAGGAACTCGCTATTCTCGAGACCAATATAAATTGTGCCCTCGATTGGACCAGATAAATGGAGATACCCTCCGAACTTATAGCAACACTCCTCTAAGCAGAAGTAAACAGTTTGCCGTCCTTAGTATGGCCATCCAATACCTCATGTGCAGGCAACAACTTAACACGCTACGACTTGCCCATCCACAAGCCCCAACCTAACTAGAACCCCAGACAACAGGAGCCTCCCTGTTCACATTAAAACCTTGAAAGCTCGTACAGGTTACACACACTGCTTGCACGGGTACCCTGAGGGCAGGACTAGTAGAAGCAACTCTCACCTTGCTAAACCTGCACAGTATCTGATATATTTTAGTACTTGTATCCTGCTTAACGTGTACCTCACTCTACTGATATCAACTGATTTTTATTTTATTTATTTACTTTACCTTATTAGGAGCAAAGCTAGTTGTATAACTATAAATATCTGTAATAACATGTCTATACTAAATTTATTTGTCACTACACATGCAAAAATAAACATTGTAAAAAAAAAAAAAATATTAGACCAAATTAGTTGATTTAGAACAATTCTCTAAGTCAGCTATATTTTTAGTTTGGGGGGCTAGAATTTGAAATTCCCTTTGATTTCAAGTTTAATTCTTGATAATAACACATGTTAATAAATAACATTCCAGAAATTGTTTTAAATAAATTTGGATGATTATTATATAGGTATACATTCCAGTTCTGATTCCCCTGTGGGCTCTTCTCTAGGGCATTGAAACATTTTTAAAAATTAAAAAATAGAATTTTAAACATCAGCTATTTCATGAACTAAAGAAGAAGGCATAAACAATGGAAAGAGTCACTCTGCCAGAAGACACTATGCATATCGGCTTATCCTCCCAAATAATACGGGTAAAGTACCGGGCACATAGGCGGTATAAAAGTGCAATTTATTATCATATAAGTTATGTCTATTGTATACAGAGGCAAGAATCTAAAGAGGATTGAGAGCCTTGGTGCTGGAAAATGGTGAGTAAAATCGGTTATTTTATTTTTACGGCATACATGGGGGGCACTTTGACTAGGTACAAGGCTGCTAAAGCCTTAGGAATGGATTCACATGTTTCACATGTCACACAGGTGACTGAGCTGATGACCAAACCCATAAAACATGTTCTTCTTTAATCAAGTGAGGAGCAGCATTATCCATTCAGTAAACATTGGTTTACAGAACAAAAGGGCACTCCAATCAGCAGCAACACTGCAGCCTACTATAGTGGTTATCATATATAAAGGTTATGGGTGCTGTACTTCTGAATGACAAACCGTTTTCACTCGTTGAATTACTGTTAAATCATTTGATGCTTGCTAACTTGACAAAGGTTTCATTGACAGTGAGAGTCTAGGATAGTTAAAGGGATATGAAAGTTTTTATTGTTCATATCAATGGCTTTTTTTTATCAACTTTAGAATGTAAACTCTGGTGGGAATGAAACCTGCAGCTTTGAAGTTTGAAAAGGAAGTCAATTAATTGACTGAAAAATCTCTTTAATAATTAAAAGAGCACATGCAGATGAGAACAGAATGACATCACACTTAAATTTTCCAGCATAGACTGTTGTTATTGACATTTTTGAAGACACAGTGATTCTGGCATTAATTTGCACTCTCTATCATGTCTCAACGGACAACAGCTCAAGTAGGTTGCCCTTCTTTTGCCATTACAAAGAGAATATATAGTTATAAATAATAAAAAAATGATCTGTTAAAATTGCCATGCCACATAAAGGTCATTAGTTTAAAGCTGGCTCCAGTCTCTTACACCATTTACAGGAAATATTGTGATAGAATGACAGCAGTCAAGTTTATTATGTTATTATACTATATCTATTATATATATAATAGTATAAACAAAGATAAAGATAGGGGGCACAAATTAAAGTGCAAATAGAAAATAAGTTAACAATACTTATTCACATTTGGTCATCAAATTTTGAATTTCCCCTAAAAAACAGACAGTACATAGCATAATACTGTATAAACATAAAATTTCAATGTTGGATATAGATTCAACAATCACACTTTGCAGAGCCACATATAGTAGGCTCTGACTTTTTAGACTTTTTAAAATCCCTTTAGCTTTGTCTCCTCTCCTCCACTCCTCCGGATACAACCACTGGTGCCAGGAATCAGTAGGTAATAACACAATATATAGAGTGGGAATTTTCAAAGTATTTAATAAAAATCAGGAGCAATAAAACAGGGATTAAAAAAACATATATAATAAAAGTCAATAAGAAAGCATTTCTTTCTTATTGACTTTTATTATATATGCCTTTTTAATCCCTGTGTCCCTGAGTGTGAAATTTATATCCAAAATTGAAATTTTATGTTTATACAGTATTATGCTATGTACTGTCTGTTTTTTAGGGGAAATTCAAAATGTGATGGCCAAATGTGAATAAGTATTGTTAACTTATTTTCTATTTGCACTTTAAGTTGCGCCCCCTATCTTTATCTATATTTATACTATTTCTATAAGTGTTTTTTCAAGTGGTTTTCAAACACTGGGGAAGTCGCACTTATTTATATTTCTGGCGCCAATTTAACACCTTGTGTCACTTGCACTTTATTGTGTGTAGTTTGTTTGCATATATATAATTGTATAACAAAATATAAATGACACAAAACAATGTAAGTTTAGTTACTTTATTGAGTTGCAACTCAATAATCCAAGTCTACGATGATAGTATCTGTTTGTTTTCCTTCTTTACTAGATTATAGTTTGTTTGTTTTTTATATGTGGAGGTGAAACCAGTAAGATTTGAGTCTGCCTTTGAAAGTGTAGGATTATTGGTAGATATGCTACTATAATTTGTAAGTAAATGTCCACTATTAGCGTGACACGTCAAAGAGCCAGCATCAGTTCATTTTAATGATTCTGAGTCATTGATTCTGCCCCTTTTTTGACAAGTGACACTGGTTACATTTAGCAGTTTCAAAACCTTCTATCAATTATGCAACAGCGTAAACTGGAAATTCCACTAGTATACTGGAAATTATTTAGATATTGAACCATTAGCGTGCAAAGTATGCTGATTCCAGACACTGTATGCATGCAATGCTTCTCTATCGAGAAGCAATAAATTGGCAGGTCTCAGTGATTGCTATGCATGTGCTATGTATCCTCATGGCACATGTAGGGGAAATGTCATCACTCCAACCCCCTAAAAAAAAAGATTCTGCTTCAATCTTCCCACCTCACCATCTGCTCCCTTATTCCCTCACTAAAATATTCAATCACTTCCTCTCCCCTGATGCCTTACCTGCCTCCTTCAATCATGCAATCATAACACCAATCCTAACCTTTATCCAGCTATTGTCCTCTCTTCTTGCTACCATTTGCCTCCAAGTTCCTTGAGAGAGTTTTATACATAATATTGACTAACCACTTTAGTCTGGTTTCTACACTCCTCACTATTGAAACAACTTTGACCAAAGTGACTTAATTGGTGCAATATCCAAGGGTCACTACGCCTTTCTAACTCTCCTTGACCTTTACACTGTGTTCAACACTGTTCATAAACTTCAAACCACCCTTCATAACCTCAGTCTGTGAGATTAGTTTCTTGCCTGGTTCTGCTACCTTTTCCACAGCTCTTTCAACAACTCATTTTTGGGTGTTTGCTCCCACCAACAACCATTCTCAGTCAGTGTTTCCCAAGTTTCTGTTATCTGTCCTCTACTGTTCTCAATCTTTGCTTCCTCTCTTGGACCTCTATTGGCAGTTCCTTTGGTTTCCAATATCAATTTTACACTGTTGACCTGATTATTTATCCGTCTTCTCCTGATCTTATTTTCTTCCCTCCTGAATTGTGTCTCCAGCTGCCTCTCTACTATTACTAACTGGATGACACTTCCATGAACTCAGTGTCTCTTAAAAGACTTATGCCTGTCCTCTGCTCATACCCTCTCCTCTAATTCTCACTTTTATGATTTCTCTACGATTGCACCATTCCTGTTGAACTTCATCCACACTCCATTAGGCTTGCATCCATTCCTTAAAAAAAAAAAAATCACTAACAATTAATTTCTTCAATACGGCATATTAATTAAGTTGCTATCATCCTTCCTTATCTCTCCTCTCCCCAAACCTCTGTAAGCTGCTTCCTGTTCTCTGCCTACTGTTACCGGAGGAATAACAGGAACAAACCGCAGAAGCCACACATAGAGATATGGACACAAGTCTTCAGGAAGTAACAGGTCTTTTATTTACACACCGATCGGGTCTCAGATGAACTTCTGTTCCAAAAATATCTGAGAGGCAGAAAGCATGGTTCAGAGGCCTTTTGTTAGCAGCATATCCCCTCCCATACAGTATAACCCCTCCTATATTCCTCAGACCAATCAGCACACAGGATATTCAGGATCACCTTATATGGGCAGACCACATGGCTCATCCGAAACAAAGGAGAAAGGAGTGTGATTTCAGTTCCTGCATTCCTGCACATGCTCAGTATACTGATGACTCATCCAACTGTTTGTAATCAGATACTAATTAGCATATGCCATGTGGAGATTTTGGCCTACTAAATTTTGACCATGCTGGAATCCCATCACACTACTATCTACTATCTATGAAGAGATCATATTTTACTGTAAACTTCCATAGCAAATAACTTTATCTATATATGAAATATGTTTTACCCTTTTTTATAAACACCCTTGTTCATTTAGAATGTTAGCTTGTTTGAGCAAGGCCTTCACCACTTTCTGTTCTTGCACGTCCAGCTTGTCTTGT